TACCATATTTCGGAAGATTTGTATAGAATCCATTTCTACTTGCTCTATAATGCAGTATTCAGTACCCCAGGCACTCAGATAAAAGGAAAAGCGTCGTATATCGAATAATTCAGGTGGAAACACTATGTAAGCTAGTGATTCCACGAATGGAAGACCGACATGTCTACATCAAGTAGAAGGTAAGGTATCCTCTCACTGAACTGTTATCTACTATAAGGCCAAAATGGACAATCAAACTACACTGAAGTGCAGTTTCGGCGACAACTAAATGACACTAACCTCGAAATAATCATTAACAAAGAAGGATGACGTGCCTTCGGAACGTGTGAAGGAATTTGGGAACAATCTAAGCCATGTTTCATCGCCGTAAAACTCTAGGCTCCAGCCTCGTGAACGTAAACGCGAGATCAAGTTGTCTTCATGCATCTCATGGGCGTCCAAGTTCTGGATTACGTCGGCGAATTTTGGGACACGGCCAGAAGTTAACGCCTTAGGGAGTAGACCGAACTAAGTAGAAGACGAGTTACCTTAATGCGGGGCATCGTAACTGTTGGTGGTTGAAGGAAAGAGACTGAGCAAGAGGAGGAGAAAAGATTGGCTCTATAGGTAAGGCTGGGCCAATAGCTAGAATACTTCGGACCAAATAACTGGTCACTTCTCAAACCATCAACGACCATGAGCACGAATCGTGTGATCAGAGGAGAAGGAGGAGCAAATTCATCTGTCATTTTCAGAATGTTATATTTGTCGTAAACTTACCAGCTTCAATTATATGAGAGAGGTGATCTGTGGGCAGTAAACCTTTCATGAAACAATACAGGCCGAGAGAGTAAATAGTCAGAAGAATTAGTGATCTGGATAAGGTCCCTTTTAGGCAGCCCATGGAGAGAATAGATTTGCGATACAAACCTATAACAGATAAAGCAATGAAAACCGCCAATAATCACAATACAAGCGTGAACACGCCAGCTAGAAATTCGGTGAGTTCAAGCGATGAAACTTGTGTGGCATCGTAAAATCCAAATAGCAATGGTCACAGCAACCTATATTCTGTGTTAATAGATATAAGGCAAATCATACCTTATGTGCAAAATGCAGTAATTACCTCCAGATCAAGGGACAAGCCTACAATTAAATCCAAGACTGGTTGCCAAACAGGATCCAAGTCTGGTAGACGTAGTTGCTTTAATTAAACAGTTGTGATGGTAATAATAAACGTGTGTATCGAGAAGACAAAGAAAGACAAGATAGAGGAAAATGAGCAGAAAAAAGCAGACATACCATACTGAATAGCCAAAAGTTCGAGGCAAGTGATCGAATGAGATGACGGAACTGATTTCGCGAAAGAACCACATCAGAAAGGACCTTTAACCAAGGAAGAGGCGGGTCGCGAGACATCAGCCTATGAAGAGGGAACGAAGTAACCCGACGATTCACCAGTCAATAAGAAAAGAGGATAATAGCTACTAACTGAAAAGATTTTCATAGCTTACCAATAATTTGATCAAACACGTCGTATCGAATTTTCCAATGCAGCGCGTGACCGGTAACGGACAGATCCCAGTGAGATTCCAACAAGTCTCCATAGGTATCCAGTTCCCGAAGTCGCGTGGATTGAAGTAATGAGTCAGAGAACATACGACGATTCTCATAGAAAACTTTTTGAGTCAAGTACTAGTGGTGAACCATGGACTAAATCCGTTTTCGAGAAAAGACAGAGAAGCATCGATTCCTTGTAACCAGCTTCGAGAGGTTCTAAGCTCCCTGCCAAAGATCAAGAGGCTGGTTCAGCAGAACTTATGCTAACTGTATAGGCAATGAGCGTGTTCGGCGTCGTGTATTTGGCGAAGAAGGAGCGAGCGAAGCGCTCAGCACCGTTACATCATATACCAAGCTCCGATGGCTGAGCCACGAGTTGCATATACCAGTAACTCCCGCGACGTGCGTTGTTGGTGCGACCGGGATGTGGATGGAAGAAGAGTAGGGGAGGCCAAGCGATGACTTGATCAAGAGGAATGAATTCCGTCATACTGAAGTTGGTGTCTTCCGATTGAAGGACTTGGGTCCGAAGAACGGTGAACACGTTTGGTTTGATACACTTGTTGACATGGTGAAAAGCCTGCCACAATGACATTCGTGTAGTGGGGTTTTGTCACACTCCTTTCCGCTTATCTTACACCTCTAACCACGTTCTCAAGTGTAATGCGCAATAAAGTGCCGAGCATCACAGCACATTGTGGTCTTTATATTGTATTCCGTAATGTTCTTTATCTCGCTGTTCATAGATGTTATCTTGTTGTATTGCGGCGCATTGACTGAAATGTGTTTCGCATCTCCAGCTAGCGAGTACTTAGGATGAATGATGATAACTGCCAATCTATGTGATTTTTCAATTCTCAGTGTCCCACTTGTTGTATTGACGCACCTGTACTCGCCTGCCACTCTTTTAAATGGAGCAACGTGACCAATCCTTTAACAGTTCAGATTAGGTACCCCCTATAGTCAAGCCAATGAAGTATATTCCCCTAAATTTGTACTACTTCATCTGTCACGCTAACGTGGGTTAAAGCACCAATTTACTAGATGAACGATTCGAGGGTCAGATACCTTCATCAAGATAAATCTAACACCGAATTTTAAAACCCATGACGCAAATGAAAACGAGCTCGGTCAAGCGAATCGAAAAATCGCGATTTGTTTGGTAACTTGTTTCATTTCAGTCACTGAATAAAAGCGCTTCGATGCGCTTTTTCACCCCACAAATGCCTAGTACTTGAACCATAATTTTTAACCAGTAGTAAGCGACGGTATGGCCAAAGTATAAGTGAGTTGTTGACAAGATGTAGACACTATGTCGGTCTTGAGCATTTCGGTTCCACACTGGGTCCCCACTTTCCGCCCCATACTATTTCTTACATATTAGTTCATTTTGACGATAATGTGGCATCAGTTCAAAATGCTGATGTATGCGTTCGAAGGGGCTCGTACATAACATGAAACTATCATCATCAGTATATCATTATACACGTTAGCTGCATGTGGAAAACACCTCAGCTATTGTGCCGCAACGCAACTAGCAGCTGAAAGATGTGACTCGGTCTGTAGTTGTCAGCAGACATCATGATATTTGGTGTGAGGATTCCATAGACAACATTCCGACCCAAAACCTGGTGCACCCAGCTCTAAAGTTGAAACCGGTTACGCGACTGCAACTGTAAAAAATGGTTGTAAAATACTAAGCCCCAGGAAAGTGAAAGCAACCACTCCTGTTACTAGTTCAGTAACTCTGCTGGAACACATGAACGATTTCTCCGTCATTTCAAGCTGCAAAGAGGCACACCTGTTGCTCGTATGTAAGCAAATCAGCAGCTTTATGGCTGTTCCGATAAATCCGCGAGACACCATTCGCAAAGTCTGCGGGAAAACAAATGTATGTGAGGGCAAGTCGAAACATTCCTTTCCCTTTAGTTCTCCAACGATCGCAATCTTATGTCCTGAAGGTGGCTGCTCTCAATCGTTTATCTCGTATATCAAACAGAACTCATAGACAAGAGAGAGAAAAGTATGCCCCAACAGATAATGGCAGCCCTGATAGCTGTTTTGCACCAGCACACAAGTTAGCTGTAGGTGAGAAACACCACGGCTAATGGGCCGCAAGACGATATAATTACACGGTTGCAAAAGGAGGAAACTGTCGTATACATACACTTGCCCCTTTGTACATGTCACATCATAACCAACATTTTTACCTTTCAGCTGATGCACCTTCGTTGTTAGACCCGTAAAGCGTATAGTTCCTACACCGTGTTATTCCGTCTGTTGTGCCATCGCCGTCTAATCCATCCATTTACTTATCTAACAACACAATGGACCGCTATCTTTGTCCAACATCGACACTGATTCGACACTGATTTGAATGCTCCAGATGCCTCTAACTAGTGGACGCATTGGCTTCAAACATTCAATGCCTTTCTAAAGTGAGTTCGTTCTGACGACTCGGATAATCTGGAAATGCTTGTCAACATTCTGTCTCCTTTCGTGAATCAGCATGTCGCTGAATGCAAAACTTGCGAAAGTGCTGTTACGTTTCTTCAGTCTCTATAGGTAGGTCCTAAATATGTGGTTTTTGCTCGAAATATTTTAACTACGTGCAAGCAGTTTGTGCAAAGCGTCAAACATTTAGCGAAGGAGTGCGATTTTCACTCCGTTTCCGCTGACGAATATTGCGACGACGCCAAGCGCGATGCCCTCATAACCGGCATACGGTCAAAAAGCATTCGAACCAGACTCCTGGAGCAGCCAGTGTTGAATTCTCAAACTCCTTATAATATGGAAAGGTCGCTGGAGGATGCGCTGAAACAATCATGGTTTTATGGGACTGAAACTATTCCTTGTGCTTCGACAAATGCTGTTCTATGCACTCTTCACAACTCCACTAACTCACCTGAAGCTAAAGAGATTGTGTCAGCGGTGCCCACAGCAATGTGATATTTTTGTGGATTTACTAAGCATCCTCGCTTAGAATGTCCTGCGAAAGATTCCATTAGCAAAGCCTGTGGGAAAATGGGGCATTTCAAAAGTGCGTGTAAATCCAAACCCTCTAGTTTATCCATCACTTCAGCACTAAATCCACTTTTGTCTTCCGTTTTGACGGCTGCAGCTCCAAACCGCTTGTCTCGCACAACAATCAGAATTTTCGTAAACAACACCGAACTGCATGCCCTAATTGATACTGGCAGTTTTGATAGTTGTCTCAATCCGTCGTTTATTCACATCACCAAAAAAGTTATCCTTGTGACTCCAGTACACTGCATCTGAAAAATACCTATCATCAGATTCCGATCGCTGAGCAGGAGAAGCGGTACACCGCCTTTGAAGCATGCGGTAACCTTTTCCCGTTTTGCCGTATCCCATTTGCAGTCACTAATGGTGTGGATCGTTTCCAGTGTACTACCAACAAGTTACTAAAAATAGGTCGCGGTGAGACAGTTGATTAAATAGACAATGTCACTGTGTGTTGTTTAACTGTGGACAATCATAATCAAAACGTTAAAAGTTCTTGACAGCTATTGCTAAATACGGCATAACATTGAACGACGCTAATACCGTCACTCCTCGTGAGGGAAGTCATCTCCTCGGTTACCATATATCTAAGGGCGAACTCAGACCCGAACAAGAACGCTTGAAACCTCTGCGTCAACTTCCATCTCCGACTGATCTGAAGTCTCAGCGTCGCATTGTTGGCATGTTTGTCTATTACACTGGCTCCCTTACTTATCAGGCAAAATCAGTCCCCTCGAAAAGAACCGGATTTTCCCACTCCCTCCGCATGTAGAAAGTGCATTCGAACAGCTTAAAATGGCCTTGGAAAATACTATGGTAGTGACAGCTGATTACAGTATTATATTGGTTGTCGAGACACCGCCAAGATAGCTAAAGCCGCCTCGCTTAGTCAGAACAATCGCCCAGTCGCCTTTTTCTCACGTACCTTATCCCCAAGTGAGAAACATCATTCAGCTGTTGAAAAAGAGGCGTACGCTATTGTAGAAGCTATCAAACAACACACTATCTCCTTGGGACGCATTCCAAACTTATCACTGATCAGCGATCCGCAGCCTTCATGTACCGTAATGGTCAAACAAACGAAATTAAAAATGAGAAAATCCAGAGGTGGTGACTGGAACTGTCTGCATACCAATACGACAGAAGTTACAGATCTGGTGAAGCTAACCAGGTTGCAGATGCACTGTCTTGTATCACGTGTGCCTCAAACTTTAACGGCACGAAGCTGCAAAACCTTCACAACTTATTGTATCACCCAGGAGTAACCGGAATGGTTCATTTCGTCCGTTCTAAAAATCTACCTCACTCCGTTGAAGAAGTCAAAAGCATGATTTCACAGTGCACTGTTTGTGCAGTTTTAAAACGCCGATTCTACAAGCCACCCACAGACCGACTCATTAAACCTATGCAGCCGTTTGAACGGCCCAGTATGGATTTCAAAGGGCCTTTATCTACAACGACTCGCAACAGATACTTACTAACCGTCGTTAATGAATACATCAGATTTTCTTTCGCACTTGCATGCTCATATGTGCTTGTTTCAACCATCATCAATTGCCTCTACCAATTGTTCGCTGTTTTGGTATGCCGGCGTACATACACTGTGACCGACGATCTTCATTCATGCCTACAGAGCTTACCAAATTCCTACTGGACAAAGGAGTGACAACTAGTCACATAACTGCCTACAACTCACAAGCCAATGGCCAAGTGGAACGTCCCAACGGAACCCGTTGTAATACCATCCCATTCATTCTACGAGCCAGTGGGAGCTTGCCCTTCGTGACGCGCTACATTCCATCCGTTCGTTGTTTTATACTGCTATAAACACTATTCCTCATGAACGTCTCTTTCGTTTTACTCGACAGTCAACTAACGGAACTTCCATTCCATCCTGGTTGACGGTGCCTGAACCGGTCTTACTCAAACGAATGGACAGGTTTTCAAAATAAAAACCTTTGATGGAGGAAATCAGCCTCATCAGCTGCAACCCGCACTGGGCTCGTGTACGACTAATAATCATGTGTCAGCTGTACGCCGTCACGGCGCTTTGCTGTCGTGCGACCACCACCAGTCGCACGCGAGCTGAATATACCGCGAGGACACCCACCGCTACGCGGATTCGAACCCGCGCCGCGTTACCTCTAGGCTACGAGCCGACTCGTGTATGATTACCTGATAGTAGAGAAGAAAATGTAAATCAATAAGAATTGTGTACATATGTTTATTTAGTTTACTTGGTCTACCATCTCTATCTCTGTCTCAAGTTATCGATTTTGGTCATTCAAACAGTCAAGAAGTCAATCCCAGCCCCAGTTGACGCTAAATCCACAATCACTGTTATGTAAAAGTTTGGGTCTGATGAGATTTACCGAAAAGAATTCTTTACCCTGAAATGATTTCTGATATTGATTCATATTAATGAAATGGGAATCTTTGCTTTGCTGAGGATCAGCATTGCCCGTGATTCATAGAAGAAAATGTCTCCATCAGTCGAGTGGCCCCTCGAGGCGATCTTCCCGCTTTACCACCTGTAACTCAGGAGTCATCAAAGACCGCCCTAACCACTCAAACCGACAATACACCAACCACAACACCAGAACTCTCAGAGAATGGCTACTCATCCGACGTCGACCGCACTTCTCTTCGTGCATCTTCCCATTTCGATATTCTAAGCCAGCAATAGAGGACACGACTTCACTAATGAAATAGTGAGGGATTTCCCCTTGTAACTCACACTCTTAAAAATCTCTTCCATGTCCCGGCTGGAAAGAATCGCATATGCATAAACTTGTCCTCTTGTACATGTCACATCATAATCAACTCTTACCTTTCCGCTGATGCATCTTTGTTGATAGACCGGTAAAGCGTATAGTTCCTACTCCGTGTTATTCCGCCTGTTGTGCAATCTCCGTCCAAAGCATCAGGAACTAAAGCCAAAAACAAAAATAATATAATGCATTTTTCATTAGTATGTACTAGTAGTGAGAGGGTTGTTAGAGGGGATGGCTAAACAGTAGGGGAAGATATAAAAAATCTCACAGCACAAACGTTATATTAGTTGGATCTGCGACATGTCAGCAGGTACATCTAATAAACGTGCTCAATCTTACGGATTGCAACGCGGAAACCGGTACCACAGGAAACCAAGTTCGAAGTGGGAGCCATCATTTTTGGTAATGGTCATCAGTTGGTCATCTCTATTCTCCTTGTACCCAGACCCCAGTGGCGCAAGCAATGGACCTCGCTTGAGTTAGTGTGTTGGTGCGAGAAATAATGGTGCTGAATGATTCAGTCGCTCTTGCTGAATTATGAAAATGACGGCAACACGCTAGTTGTTCACGCGGCGACTCACCAGATGTCAGACAAATCGCGAAAACCCAGGTGGCTGAGCGCAACTAGCCTCACACGTCTGTCGATCTGATAAGCCATGTTTCACAACTGTGTGATAGGAGTGAACTGATGGCAACAATGTAAATCCTTTCATTCACTGCCAACGTGATGACGCGCTGGCACCAAAAGTATCGAAGCTGAGCAAAAGCGCCTCGAGCTTCTGCTAAACAATGTTACCACAACGTGTATTCCATAGACAGTCATCATCATCATTACACGTTAGCTGGAGGTGGAAAACACCTCAGCTATTGTGCCGCAATACAAAAGACAAGAAAAGGAAAACAGTGGCACGCCCGCTGAGTCCCCAGTAACGGATGGACATCGTACCGGAGAGCTAACAGCTGGCTGCCGTAAAAGAAAGTCATATTATGCCTAACAAGTGAGATCGTGATTGGAGGGGGATGCTAAACAGGAGGGGGTGGACAAAGGAAATCACAACACAAACGCCATTGATGCCGGCTCCGAGCCATATCAGCAAGTGTGTCCAACCAAACGTGTTCACCGTCCTTAGGACCCCAGCCAGGCAGTCGGGATGCACCAACCGACGCCAACTTCGAAGTGAGGGTTTTCATTCCTCTCGACCAAGTCATCACTTGGCCTCCCCTCCTCCTCTTCCAACCGCACCCACAACGCGCAAACAATGCACGTCGCGGGAGTCGGTGTGCTGGCATGCGCAACACGTGACCCAGCCATCGGAGCCTGGTGCGTGATATAATGGTGCTGAGCGGTTCACTCGCTCTTCCTGCACCAAATACGCGACGCCGAACACGCTCATTGCTCACGCGGTGCTCCCACCAGACATGAGCTAGGCTGCGAAGGCAGCGATGATCGAATGTGACGAGCCTCTTTATGTCTGTCGACCTGATGGGCCAGGTTTCACAACCATACAGGAGAGTTGAACGGACGGCTGCGTTGTAAACTCTGCCCTTCAGGGCGAGAGTAATGTCGCGTCTGCGCCACAGGTGGCGGAGATTGACAAAAGCACCTCGAGCTTTTGCTATACGGTTCGTAACCTCATCTTCGATCCCACGGACGCTAATATAGCTGCCCAGGTACTTGAATTCCTGAACGACTTCTAGCTGATCACCACCAAGCGTTAGCGCAGGAGTGGGTCCCTGCCAATCTTGGAGAAGTACTTTGCATTTCGATGGAGCAAAGCATAGCCCAAAACGATTGACAGCCAGTGCTAATCGGTCCAGTGCTGTTTGGCATGTTTGGGGGCTGTCACAGATTAGGGCAATATCGTCCGCATACTCCAAGTCAATAAGTCGCTCACCAGGAAGTAGCTCCACACCTTCTAGGTCGTGTCAGCGAACGCTGTTTCCATGACTTCATCAATAGCGAAGTTGAAGAGGAAAGGTGACAGTGGGCATCCTTGTCTCACACCGCTGGTGATACTGAAGGGTGGCGACAGTTTGCCATAAACCCTCACCCTGCCCGAACTATGCGCGTACAGCGCTTTGATAAGGTTTACATATTTATCAGGCACACCTTTCCTCAGCAGACAGTCCCAAAGGGCACATCGATCGACTGAGTCGAAGGCACCTTTTATGTCAAGAAACACGACAACGGTGGGTCGCCAATAAACATGACGGTGCTCCAACACTTGATGCAATGTGAAGATGTGGTCGATGCAGCCCCGACCTCGACGAAATCCGGCTTGCTCTTCACGAATCTGGCCTTCACGAGTGCCAGTCAGTCTGTGGAGAATGACAGAGGCAAGCAATTTAGAGGCAATCGAAATCAGACTGATCCCTCTATGATTGTCGCATTCTAAACGGGAGCTTCCCTTGAAAATTGGGACAATGACGGAGCGGTTCCAGTCTGTCGGGACTGTCTCCTGCTCCCAAAGTTTTACTAGCAAGTCGTGTAAATCATCTACTAGAGCAGGTCCCCCGAATTTGAAGAGGGCTGGGGGAATTCTATCTGCCCCTGCGGCCTTATGCAATTTCAACAGCCTGATCTCACGTTCGACTTCTGCGCGTGAGGGCGGATCCAAGGAGACGGCCAAGGAGAAGGGCACTCAATGTCCGAAGAAGAAAGCGATAACTCAGGTTGGTTAAATTGCCTTGCAGTGTTCAGCCCAACGCTCCAAACGTTTTGACAAGCTGTGGATCGGCTGACCACTCTCGTCGCGTATGGTCTCGCTAACACCAGGTCTCCTGCTGCCTGTTTCCCGTATCAGACGGAATAACTTACGATGATTACCGACGGCAGCGGCTGTTTCCATCTCAGAGGCACGATCAGACCACCAGGTTTCGCGGTCCTTCTTTAGGCTAGCACGTAGTTTTGCCTTGAGATTTTTGCGAGTCTCATTGTATTCGCTTCCAGCCGGAATACGTTGACGAGCATCCATAAGTTCCAGAGACTGTGTAGAGACCCAATGTCCGGTTTGGCAATTTGCTTTGCCACATGAAGACATGCCTGCTAATAGCAACGCTTGACGAATATGCGACCAGTGCTCTTCAACGGTGTTTAGTGGGCGCTTACTCAGCCCAGATGTCAGTGCATCTTGATACACATTCAGAACATCTGGCTTCGCCAGCTGGCAGGTGTCAATCCGTTCACATCGACGTCGCGGACTCCCACCGAAATGTACCAGGAGGTCGGCACAGACAAGTGCGTAGTCAGAGTCCACGCTCGTGCTCCAAATCGAGCGACAGTTTTGGACACAGCCTCTCCAGCGGTAACTGATCGCGATATGATCGATGTGCGTCCATGACTGGCCCGAAGCTGGTGGCCGCCAAGTCACACTTCTGCGGGTGCTGTGTCGAAAGTTAGTGCTCGCGAGAAAGAGGCGAGCATCTTCACACAGCTGTAGCAATCGCTCATCATTATCATTACGGGAGCCTACACCATGTTGGCCGCCCAGATGAAGCTCATCAGAGGACAATTTTCCGACTTGGGCGTTTAGATCGCCAGCCAACACCACAGTATCCGTGCTTCTTCTGTAACGAAGGAGCTCGTGAAGTTGCTGATGAAATCATCTTTTACCGGATCAGTGCTACCGTTTGTAGGGGCCTAAGCCGCAATGATAAACAGGCACCGTTTGTCCCCGCGCGACTTCGTAGCACAGAAGGAACCAGCTAATCCAACGGCGCACATCCTACTGTTTACTGGGATCCAATCAATCAGGGCAGCTTCACTCCGGGGACCCAAAACAATTCCGACGCCAGCTTGACCGGCATTTGAAGCTGCATCATCGCCAGACAGGCGCAATGAGAATGTGCCGCCAGTGTCCCATGTGGGGGATCTCAGGGTAAGCACGGAGGTCGAAACTTGCAGGCGGGTTTCTGATAAACAGCAAATATCGATCGATAGGGTCTCTAGTGTGCGGGCAAGTGCTGCCTGTTGGCCAATCTGCAGCAAAGTGCGCACGTTGAGGCATGCCAGTCTTAACGGGACGCGAGGACTCCAAAGGGAAACGGATGAACTGACGTTGTCCACTTGATTGAACATGCACTTGTCGACTGGGTTGGAGAGAGGTCCTGCGATTGTGTGTGATTTGAAATTAGAAGACAAGCGACTATTGAAGTAAGCTGGGGGAGGGCAAAGAATTGGGAAATTGAAAATGGGGGGATTTAAGTAAAGTTGGAGCGGGACGATAAGGATGAAGAAGCGCAAGAAGGGGTATAAGAGGACGGGAAGGCCTGAGCAGTAGCATCCATACCCCTATCCACCCTGCTCGATGCAGCAGATAGGGCACCGTTGATTATCCTCTGCGACGACCAGAGCATCAAGAAATTGTTGTAGGAAAGTTTCCTTGTGTTGCGTGGGCAGAATACTGTTAGGTTGCCCAGGCCTAGACAGGAGAACGATTAGGGTTCTCAACCAAAGCCTTTGCTTAAAAAACCTTACCGCAAGGCAGCGGGTTTTGGCACTGGACTACGGAGCCCGCTTTATGAAATGAGGAGCCACCCCCATTCCAACCCCCAACCTGGAGGACCAGGAGGCTGAGTTTGTCTGGCCTCTAACCATTGACCAATCTGGTATGAGTGGCTCTGAAGGTGCAAAAAAAGCACCACCCAGCATAGCTCAATGGATCCCTGAGGCACGCAAACCATCGCACCATGGTAAGGTCCATAGACAGTGATAGAATTGTGACACCAGCCGCGGTAACAGTACAATTGGCAAAGTGCCCCAATGTATGGACAAAAATAATACGTCAATAACAAAAGAATGGAGAGAATAAAGGAAATGTAAAACTGCAGTTATGTAGGTAGTCTCACAACATGTTCACTATTGCTCACGGTTTAGTAATATGTCCGAAATGATTTCCAGCCAAGGGTGCTCATGATCCTTGCCCCCCCCCCCACAATCAGGGAGTCGAAGACGCCCGACGGTGACCAAATGTGAGGTCAATGCCTTTATAGTTTTGTCTTCGCTACAAGCCGACTTCTGTGTGCACAGAGTGCTCGGTGAGGTTAACGCTCAGTAGGCATGCGAAGTACGT